GAGAGAGAGAGAGAGAGAGAGAGAGAGAGAAAGATCGAGTAAGAGGGAGGGAGAGAAAGGGAACGAGAGAATGTGACAGAAACGAGAGAGAGAGAAAGAGCGTTTGTGATGAAAGGAAGAGAACAAAAAACAAAAAAAAACCGCGTGACGCATTAATTAACACTGACGATACTTAATCAGTCGCTGACAGTCCTTTCGTTGATCGAGAGCGGCGCCAAGAAGATTATTATCCGAACGACTATGAGATCGCATACGGCGCGTATGCAACGTTTGTAAAAAATTACACAAGTACACACATGTGCATACACACAGACACACGGCGTAAAGTTTAATTTAATACGACACGCCAATCCCGAAGATTGCGATTTGTTCCCGATTATTTGTACCTCTCTGTATGTATTTTGCAGCTTGTCAGTGCTTTTTGTTCATTATTACATTTTATCTTATAAATAATTAATTCACCGTCTTTTTGTACCAATTTACTCTTTACGTGTCGTCGGAATGCGAGCTTTAACTGTTGATTCAGTCTACCGGATATAGTGCAACGCAACTCCGAAGAGAAGCGCGGCTACGGCCCGCCGATCTCGGCCGATCGCTCGCGATCATTGGTGACCTCGCAAGCAACTTAGTCATATAATAGCGTATCACAAATATTATTTTTCTTAAATATCAAGCAGACACGATCAGACAGCGAATAACTGAGAAAGTTACGTGCTAGATTTCTAATTACCTTCGACCGCGGCCTTAATTGATTTAACCCTTTCCATACTCTGGCTAACATTATACGTCCTTATGATATTATCATGTCCTTATCACCCGCATCATATGATGTATATGTGTATCACGAACGCATACAACTCTACATATTACTAATTTATTTTCTAACGTAATATGTTATTAAATAAATAAAATACGAAATCAAACACGAGTTGGAAGGGGTTGTTAGCGTCTATAGAGAATGCTGCGATATTTTTCGCTATAAACGATAATAAAAAAGAAGCCAGAATACGATATGACTTTTGGTGCATATAATTTTAATTAGTAAAATATTTAGCCGCGTCGAGAATTGGCACGTCCCCAAAAGACAATGCTCCATATGTGCACAATTACGCGGTCGGGGGTTGAATTTCGTATACATGGAGAAAGATTTATCGTCCTTTGCCGGTCGGGACACGGAGCGCCTCGCGCGGGATTATCCCTGCGACGTATAAGATGCTATCGGTCTTATGTAAATTAACCGCCATTCAAGCCGCAATGGAGTCTGAGTAATTATGACAGATAATTGCCTCGTATCTCATAACGAAATAACCCCCTAATCGATTCTGTATTCCCCCGCGAGCGAGCGCCTATCGCGATTCTCGCTTTGAACCTCGGCCGATAGCGTGATACATTGCCGCGCGATTCTCCCGATAAAACCCCGCGCGACCGGCGGGATAAATCTGTCCGCTGAAATATAATAATCAAAAAGCGCACGCGGCGATTCGCGTGTCGTCATTTCGCTGTAATTCGCCTCCATCCTTGAGTCGGCTTTTAGTAAGCTGCTTGGAAGAGATCCGTCGAGAAGTTTCAAGAAATTTCGTTTCACGCATGGGAGAGGAGAGAGCCAGAGGAAGCAGCGAGATCTTTGATTCTCGCGTTTGAGCGTGCGTGTCTGTGTGCGAGCGAAAGAATGAGAAACAGAGAGAAAGAACTAGTGAGAAAATGTATGTATGAGAGGGAGAGAGAGAGAAAAGTGTATATTTTTCGTGAACGTTCTTTCTTAGTTTTCTCATGCAAGCACGGTGGATGAGGGTGGTTGCCGATCGATTCGATTGTCCTGGATCGAAACCGTCATTGATCGATCTCTCATCGTCCTTCGATGTCACCGTCGCTGGCCGAGCGAATCTCTCGAAGTCTCCCGCAAGACTTTCTTTAGTTAATGATTCCATTGACAAGATCGTCGAATGTACAGGAAACCGGGCGGTGTATATCACGATTTCCTTCGAAAACGAGACTGGAGATCTCCGCTAGAAGGGAGGCTATTTGCACTTCTGATTGGCCTTTAATTAGACACTTTAACTAATCAGGACTGAAAATACGTAATGCGCCAAGAGCGTAACGAAGTGGGCTTATTTAGTAATAGTCTAAAATTTGTATGATAAAATTCTTAATTATTAAATAAATTAGAAACATACGATAAGTCCTTAAGACTCGAGGCCGAGATACAAATATCAAACGGCTAAATGGACCAATCGGTTGAACATCGAGGGATCAAGAGAAAACGAAAAGAGATCGAGGGCGATCTAAGGACGAGATCCAGGACGATGATCGACGGTGAGATGAAGGGCAGGGCGCCTGGTATTAGTACACATTAGTTTCTTGGATAGAGGGGGCGCCCAATTAGTTGTTGGAATTTTATAGTCTAGGTAATAATTCTCGATATAGTTCAATGTTGTCGAATTTTCTATTAGTTGAGCGTGACGAGGAGAATAGAGTACAGAGGAAAGCCAGGGGGGAATTCATCCAACGGCAATTATTGTAATTGCGACGAATTAACTATTTATACGATTGTTCAGAAGATATATTCTAGATATTTCTCCATGTGTGAATAAAATGTTTTATATATATAATTATATATATATATATATGTGTGTTAAACGGGCTTAATTCGGCTGGAAGTGCAAAACGTTTTCACTTGTATGCGGGAATGCAGCGTTCGTAGAATTCCAATGGAAATTCAATATCGAAACTGGTAATCGGAACTCACTGAAACATCAGGACGATTTAGGACGAGGGCACTTCGCCCTGAAAGTCACGATATTATTCGTTTTGTACCGGCGATGAAATTTTCCTGGGAATATGAAACTTTGCGATTTTACAGCTCGCGTTAAACATTAATTATTGAAATGGTAATATCGTGCTCGCTGAAACCGCCGCCGCCGGTAGATCGATAAACCGTTAGTGCGGATGTGCACGTCGCTTCGCTCATTCCGTTCGCTCATTTTAGCGTGCGCTTAACGTGAGCTTACGCCCGACCGTAAATTTCGACGCGGTAATTACCCGGTGTTCTTCCGTCGAAACGGACGCGTTTTAATTGATTTACACGGAAATCAACGCGCGAGTGCAATCGCTTCCTCTTCAGCGATGTATACGATCGTCGCAAAAGGAAGTAATCGTGGTCGCGTAAGGAATTACACGCTTACGTTACGTTACGATAGAGATATATAAATCAGGATCTTTGAGCAAAACATATTAAATAATGTTGGCTAATAGAAATATATATATGTACATTCGCGGCCCACGGACGGATTTTTCGCAAATATTGCATGGCTAATAAGAATACTTATAATGACATTAAAATTTGATAACGATATTATAGATGCGTTCCACTTTTCTCATTAGTGGCGTGTTATATGTGTTACAATTAATTCAGAAATCTTTATAAATTTTAATAGTGTATTAAGGGAGATTTTTGAAATCCCTTTTCTGAAGCTTTTTCTGAAAAAAAAAAGTAAAAAGAAAAGATCACGTTCCAACAGGAATATTTTGCATGAGACTCTTGTTTCAAACGGGCAGTTCTCGTACGAATGTATTTCCAATATCGGATTACGGCAATTCGGGATTTTTTATATCCAACGAAGTTCAGTAGATTCAGGCTTTCCTCGATCCTCGACTCGCCCTCGTCACCGATGTGTGGTTAGTCACGACGATTTCGAGTTACTAATAGCGTCTGTGCGGAGTGTTGAAGTACCGGATACTTCCGGCAACTGTCCAGTAGTGGATTCTCACCTACAAACTACATAGAATCAACATCCCTCGGCGGAGCTGGACGAACGGACTGTTTCCGGTTTACAACTTCGAGCTTGGAAAGCGAGATCCGACAAGTCTCTAATTTCCATTGATAAATTATTCCGGTAAAAACGACATAAATGGATGAAACCGTCGTTTCGCTCTACGATTTTCCTTGCACACGATTACGTAATAGAAATGAATAAATAAAGCTGTTTTGGGTGACAATATTGATCCATGCCGAGAAACGGTGAAACCTTTCGCTCAACTCCAACGACGTTTTCTCGAGAAAACTTTCAAAGCAAGTTCGTTATTCCTCCCATCGCCCACCGTCATCGCAGGAGGCGAAAGAGATTCTACAAAGTTTTCTCTCCGAAAGTTTTCCGATGGGGACGATGGGGTGCATTGCGAATGGCCGATCGGTAAATAGGGAAACGACGTAGAGAGGCGCGTCTTAGCAGGGTCGCTGTCTACGACGTGCGAGCGGTAGACGAGAACTTTATCTATATATTTGCCACGATATTTAATATGTGAATGAGTATATCTATTGAATATATAACATTGACATATAATATAGATATATATATATATTATGAGAAAGCGAGAAAGAAAGCAAAAAAGAGAGTGAAAGAAAGAGAGATAGAATGCGAGAGAAAGAGCGAACGCAAAAGAATGTATGGTAATATCATAAAATTATTATTCTCTTTGTTACTTCTTTATAATTAAAACAATAAAAAAGCTACTGAATAAAAAGACGCTGTGCACGTTGTTATTTAAGCCGGATGTGGACGGCGGTGTTCTCTTCTGCGTGTCTATCGGTGTGTAAACTGTAGCGCTACGTTCCTCCTTTCCGATTTCCTCGAGTCATTATTATTGAGCTATTTGTCGTGTTGTATAATTCAATTGACAGCGGAATGTCGGAGTTATCCTTAAAAAATGAATAAGCAGTCACTTAGATTAGCGATGGTCAGATAATATTTATAGAGTAATGCTAGTCATGGATGCGCTTATCTGTTAATTTCCGTTTGTTATCGGTACTTTACTACTTTATATCGAATATATAATCTTTTTGTAACTCTCTCTCTTGATGATAATAATGAAGATGATAATCGTGTTCTTTAAATTAGAACGCGATAAATTCACAAGGCAACAGATTTTTTTAAGCCGTTTCTTCGAAATGTTCTTTTTCGTGCGTATGTTTCAATGAGTGATATACAAAGAATTCTGAGAAATAATTTAAGATCATCAATTTTTAATATAATTTTTATTCTTTCTAATAATGTTTTATAAATGATATTTTTAATATTGTATTAAACTGATCTTTTAATTTAATTACATCAGCAATTAATTTATTATTAACGTCAGAATGCATTATATATTTTTAAAGACTTAATACTTATTTAATAAGAAAACTTATTATAATACTTACTTGATTTTTGTAGATTGGATCGCGCGATATTAACGCGATTTTCGATGACTCGACGAACCCACGTTTCCGAGCAAATGATAGCATAATGCTCTTTGGATATCATTTAATTCCAATCCTATTTTTATTTCATAAAAATATGTACATAATGACGAGAATGCTTCGTGACCGAAGTAGTTGTTAATCCTCTAATTTATTCTCCAATGTAGTATTTGTTCAGCTCTTTGTGATTACGCTCGATGTTTTCATATGCAAAGATTAAGGGCGATTAGGCTATTTGAAAAAAAAACATAGATAAGGGAACACGAAAGGGTATGATTGAACGGAGGAACAAAAATCGAGCTAACAAAAAAGGAACCAGTATTTCGTACATACATATTTCCTCGTTATCTAAAAGTAAAGATGAAATGGAGGAATAATTAAGTATCAACGGCTAAGGAAACGCGTTTTTCATCCTTCCTACTCTTGCGTATGTTTATATACCTCTTGAAACTTAATTATGTGCGGTGTAATTGCGCCAGTGGAATGCATGAGAAGTGAGAGAGGACAAAATTAAACGAGTTATATTTTTCACTCGGAGAGGAAACGGCGAGAAGAAGAGAACCGCTAAACGAAAGTGATCGTTTATTTAGAACGGTGGGTTGAGAATGTGAGTGTAACGATGCATTTCGCGGCATATTGCACATATATATATATACACACACACACACATATATATATATAGATATGGGAATGTGCTGGAAAATCTATTTTGCGTCGTTCTAGAAAGATCCACGTATTACGATGTTAAAAACATATTGGATTTTATATTCTAAAGTAACGCTAAGGAACGTATACTTTTTGCGCCGTAGGGCGTGTACCTACCATTAGATATATGTGAGGGCAAACATGTGAGTATATGAATATGCATGTAAAACCTTCGGCATTATTAAAAAGTCGAATCCATCGAATCTCTCTCAGTTGATACGGAAAAATAAAAGTAAAGAAAATTGCCATAAATATTTTTCATGGAAATTGAAAGTCTGTTACTTCCTTATTGACAATGTGACAAAAAGCTTGTAAGCCACTCGTTTAACCGTCAGTTGAATAAATCATCCAAGGAATTACGTTATCAAATCGCGCAATTTTTCATAATTCATAATATATACCAGAAACTAATATTAAAAGAACTTAAGTACAGGATTATGCTCTAAAGAGATAAACATTTTCTATACACATGATATTAATCCGATGCAATTTAGAGAAGCTATTTTGAGAACTCGACAGATCGGTCGCGCGATTTTCGTGATTAGCACATACGACCGTTGTTCTACCGCTGCAAGAGAGATGTGTGGTCCTTGTATAATATTCGTACCATGTCTGTGTTTTGTGTCTACCTACGTACTCATATCTATCTGCCTACCCGCCTGTATATCAATCTCGCACACTTGCATACCAATGTTGTGTCGTTACGAAATCAAAATATATAAATCAACCGGACAAGTCGGCTGAAGAGAGAACGGCAAGTAGCTCCGATTGAACTTCGCAGATTCGCGAGACGTAAAACGATCTTACGACTTGCGCGATATCGATTTACATGGGATTAATCCGCAGGATTGGAGATTTATATTACAATGAGAAAAAAAATTTGAGAAATGTTCTATAGGCAATAGACGACAATTAAATGAAACTGCATATCGTAATGCTTTATGTAATTTATTATGAATATGTATTATGAAATTATTCAGAATGGATTCCGACCGGAATTATTCAATTATTCTCTAAATTTCTATTATATTTTCTAGAGAAAACGGAATAATTCCGATCGGAATCCATTCCGACTTGTTCCATGATAGCTGCTCTGATATCGTTTATTCTATTCGGGATTTCAATCCATAAATGTCCGCGCAAAAAAAAATTATCTTCTATACATAGTTTATCGAGTCTGATTACTTTTTTCATGTGAATTATTAAAAGAAAAACAGCTCTCTGTGATACTTGTGTCCATTCTCTCTTCAGTCGAACGATAGTGTCGTATTTGGAGTTCCTGATCAAACAGCATCTATCTCAGCGCTTTTTAA